TTAATTAAAATTACACGTCACTAAACAAACACCGACCGACTCAACTCATTCTGTCTGTGATGAGGATTAACGTGCATTCACATTTCAGCCATAGTAAAAAAAAAATAGATAAAAAGCTAGATTTCAGCTTCGCTGAGGAAGTATGTAATTGTTCGTTCCTAACTCCACCCTACCAATCGATGGTTAACATCTAATAACAAAATAATCACGCGACGATCGAAGGAACGCCATTCGTAAGGGAAAGCTCGCAGCTTTTTATCTTGCGACACGTTTAAAAGCTTCGGCTCTGATAAAAGAGGGATCGATAAAAATGCATTGCTAAAGAAGTAGCGATAGAATTTGTGAAATAAACCATTTAACGTATGTGTCGATAGAATTTTTTTTATTTTCTTATTTTTCGAATACAACGATGGCCAGTAAATTCTTCTTCATTACCTCGATCGATTATTTTACAAATATATTTTTTCATATTTAAATTCTCTTTTTCTTTTAATAAATTTAACGTTAAAAAAATTAAATTTCTTTTTGCGAACAGTAAAAATAATAGAGATCCTGAATTCCATTTTTTCTCAAAAAAAAAAAAAAAAAAAAAAGAAAAAAAAAACGGAAGATCGACGAATTTTTAATTTCTCAATAACTTTTTCTCGAATTTTAATCGAACGAATTTTCCATTTTCGATCTCCTCCCAGAATTTCGCTGGCCATCGTCGAATTTTCCACGGAAAACGAATAGAAATGGATTGATTTCGACGATACGTATCTGGCTTCCGGCTTCGTTCAAACACTATTTCGAAATTAGAATACATTATCGTGTCTCGGTCGTAATCGAATCGTGTCGAACGAAACGTAATTTTCCTTCGCCAACCAATGCGAAAACAAGTCGCGAGTGAAGCTTCTATTCCCGACTTTCGGCAGCCTCTCGTCCTCTCGTCGCAATTGTTATCCGAATCGCGACCATCGATCGAGTGGATACAATGTGAAAAACTGGTGGAAAATCCGGTCTATGATCGGGAAATATGATCCTATTCTCCTCTCGAACCCGTTCGGATATCTGAAAATTGCGCGGAAGATGAAAAATCTTTCTCGTTTTCTCCTCGCGTTGCCCCCTATATTCCAAAAAAACACGGAAACTCCTCGAAATTTATTCGTGCGTGGAAGTAATAACTGGAACTATTAAACCAAGATAAATTAATTAGTTTAGTATTTTTTTTTTTTGCAATAATTAGAAACAAGTACAAATGTTTATATTTTAAAAGTAGAATAAAATTTTTTTATTCGAACTTTTGCTTTTTGGTTCACTAAATTTTCAAGTATAACTAAAAATGACTAATTTCTAACTAAATACGAATAAATTCAATTTAAAATGTATCAATAAGTTCACTTTAAAATGTGAAAATAAGCAAAAAAAAAAAAAAGCGGATTAAATTTTTCATTCAAAAATTATTTTTCTTTGATACGTTCATTTTAGATTTTCTAAAAAAAAAAAAAAAAAACAAACTCAAAACGTGGAATTTATTCTACATTTTTTTACATATTTTAACACGTAAAATAACCATTTATCGATTATTTGTATCTAATCAAAAAATAGCTAATTTTAGTTGTACTTGAAAATTTATCGGAAATTTTACTCGAAAACAAAGCCTCAAATAAAAATAGTTTATTTATTTTCGATTTTTTTTTTTTTTCAATTCCTTGTCCAATTATCCTTACAAGATATCTGTAATTTTTAAGGATAATTCTTTGTTTTCTCGATCTACAATTTTACTCCCGATTATATCGATCGAAGAAAGGGAAGGGAAGAGAAACGAGACGCGATTCCTTGGAATTTCAATTAGCGGACTATTAAAAAAAAAAAAGAAAAAGAACGGAAAGAAAGAGCGGGAAAGTAATCCGGTGTTTAATTTGTGTTCAACGTTTCGAAAGTTCCGTGTTTATCGGAATTCCGTTTCGTATTTAGCGGTATTTCCTGTTATCCGTGTTTTTATTCAATAAACCATTTACCAGTGGTGATTCCACCCGCCATTCACTCGAAAAAAGACGAGAGGCAGCTGATCGTTCGTGAATCTCGTTCGTGATTAACCCGATTCAATCGTTGCGTTGCCGGGTGATTAAAATGTAAATTAAATAATTCGATAAAAATTTTTTCCCGAAAGCGGAGACAATGATACGAGACGAGATAATGAAATATTCGCGAAAAAGGAGGAGCGTTCAAAATTCGGACGAAGAAAAGAAAGACGAAGGGAAAAAAAAAAAGAGATGAATACTTTTTTTTTTAATGGGAGAAAAATTTTTTTTTTTAAATCGATCCGAAGCGTGTTTCTCCGCGGCTAATTTTTTTGCCGGGCGGGAAAGGGGTGAAAATTCGCCGACACGATTCGATGTAGAGAAAGGCAAACGTGTTGTAGCATACGTAAGATACGCGATGGTGGCCGATCGGGAGTAATTGTTGGAGTGTTTTTGATTTTAGGGTGCTTACCATCAGCTCGGATCTGCCCACCGTACTCCAAGTGTTGAACGAGGTCGTACCTAATCTCGAGGAGGTGAGTGTTGCTACCAGAAGAGGATCACACGGGAAAAGAAATGACTCAATCGTGAGACTTTTCAAATGTTTTTTTCTTATTTATTAGTAGAACTGTTAAAGATATAGAGATAGAGAGTGATATGACGGGGGTTGGTTCGGTAATTGGTTGACCGCCTTGATTCATCATTTCAATTGTCACGCCATGACTCATATTCTTGAGTCATCGATTATATAGTGGACGTAGAAAGGAACACTTGCTTTATTTGGTAAACTCGTTATTACATCGATAATCTCTGTATAATATACAGTTTAATTGGATACGAGGCTATATAAATATCTTGAACAAATAATCTAATTTCTATAGGGAGATTAGGGTGCTAACCAATACACCGTTCCACCTTAACCAGAAAGTCTTATGCTAAAGGGAATCGCATTTTATATAGTTTTTGCATGGAATGCATTCTAGAAATTTAGAGGATGATCTAAACGAGATTTATCTCAAAACAGAATATTTCCTTTTTTTTTTTTTTTTCTTTCAATTCCTCCCATTTGCACGGAACACGTTAGTAGCGTTTCCATAAGTAGAACGATCGATGCATCCGATTTAACGACAAACATGGCGACAATAGATATAGAGTCACGTTCCAAAGAACGCACGATCTTATGAATATTTATTATCCGTTCGAAGATCAGCGATTAACATAAACCTGGAATACGAACAACGATATTCGACGTAAAACGACTAAAGATTGTTGGAAAAATTAAAAAAAAATAATAATAAATAAATAAATAAAAAAGGAAAGATAAGCGAAATTTACCCGTGTACGACGAGAGCCATTCAAAACGAACAGGGCAGTGTTGCCAAAGTATATATTCAACAACGCGTAACAAGACAAGACAAGAAAGTAAATGTTGGAAATGGATTTTCAGAACGGGTCTCGACACGGGAGCGACGAGATCGACGTGCGCATGCTGGTGCATCAGAGCCAAGCCGGATGCATAATCGGCAAGGGAGGTTTAAAGATCAAGGAGCTTCGCGAGGTAAGTCGGAGAATATGCTCGTACGTCGTTTAACACGCGTTATCCACACGAAACACGACATAGGTTTTACGATTGTCACGTTCGACTCCGTGCCAAGGCCTCCAGCATGCTCATACGACGAATTTAAACCGTTCTCGAGGCCTTTTATACGATCCTCTTTATTAATGGACAACGAAGTCGGTTTCGCTCGCGAGTCATCCAACCAAGATCCGACACCGTTTCCGTTTCCGCTATTTTTGGACGCCCGCTTTTCGATCGATATTCCGCCGTTCATTTTCACGTCGATTACGAAATATTTATCGTGGATCACCAAGAAGATTCGGAAGAGGTTCATTCTCGTAGTAATCGCGAGTAATTATTGTCTTCTTTAGGGAGGGGGGGGGGAAATATTTATTAAAATTTTGCAAAATTTATTATTGACGTATTTATTTATTTTTTTCGTATACTTTGGGTAGAGAGAGATAATTATTTATCTCTGGAGTAAAAAAGTGAGAGTATTTACTCGATGGGAATAGATTTTTTTTTTTTAGAAAGTGGAAGAAATTGGAATTGCTTACGGGATAAATATTCCAGGATCGAGAAGGTTATTTTCCACTAGGGAAAATTAGGTCTCGTAAATGGATTAGAATTGATTTTAGTGGCATTAAATCATTACCCTCGCGGCCGATTCGAATAGGCTATTGCACAAGCACCGCTAATAAATCTGGAATTCACCGTCCACGGTGATAATAAGGAAATTATCCGCGTTTCCTGTCGTTCTCCCACTTCTTGCCTCGCGAGAATCGTCCCTCGTCTCTGCTTCTCCAGCAAAATAAAGAATATCTTCCAAATGGATCCCTTCCTTTCTTTCTTTCTTTCTTTCTTTCTTTCTTTCTTTCTTTCCTTCCTTCCTTCCTTGTTCCCCTCATCTCCCTAACGCAACGATAAACGATTAATCCCTGTTCAATTGTGGAACAAAAAAATCACTCTTAGAAGAATGTAAAAAGATGGATCGAATTTTTAGAGCGAAGAAACACTCTCGAAGTTGATAAGTGAGGGAGCAGGATGGAAATGGACAATCGAGCTTGTTTTAATTAGGGAAATGGCGGGTCGTAGATTTTACGTAACAAGGATGGGCGAAATATAATGGACAATATCCAGGCAGAGGAATATGCAACGTGGCCAAGTGGCTCGTTACGTTTTCGCAACTTGTACAAGAGGTATAACCAACCGATATACACCTTTTGTTCAACCAGCCACTAGACGCTGCCGTAACTTTTCTTCTTTCGAGCTTTGTCGGCTTCTTCCCTTCTTCCGCCCCGTCCGGGATCCCGTCGATCTTGACACACTCTCCTGTTTACTCGATGACTGTTCAAAGGAAGCAATCGTTTCATTCAAGTTTTTTTTCCTACTTGAAATCTTTCGTCGAAAATTAATTTATCGAAGGACAACGTATGGGTCTTTCTTCTTTGTGAACGGTCGAAGCGAAAAGATCGATTCAGAGAAGACAGACTCCGCCATACATTCGAATATACATTCCAGACACATATGATATAGTGAAAAAATGTTTCTTCGTAATTTTTTCCCTGGATAGAATAGAAGAGGGAAATATTGCCAATTGGCGACATCGCCAGAATTGTTTGGAAGGAATTGTTTGTTTCATCGATCTGATCCAATCAATTCTCGGTTCTCCGTTCTCCGGAATTTCGAATCCGGAAGGAAAGGAAATTCGTAGGTCGGATAATTTTCGATGGATTTCGAGAATTCTTTCAGGAAGAATTCCAAGTGTTCTCGGCTTATTTTCGCGCGAGCTTGATCCAAAAGTTTAACGACCTCGCGGTTTTCTCCCATCCCTTCTCCACGTTTTCGCCCTATCTCTCAAACATTCGTCTTCCCCGCCTCTTCTCTTTCTCTTCTCTGTCAACAGTGGCGATACTTCACAGCACTGTTAACGTAGCGCGCAATATTTCGACCCGAGATACGTGCCACTCGTTTATAGCGCTTCCGTGATCTCGTGATGTTGCATCCCGTTCGAAGCAATAAAACCGGCTTACATCTCTTCCTTTGTGCTCACCCTAATTTCTAGATAGACGGGACACGTTTCTTCGAGCGTACAGGTGAACAGATTTGGGAGGGTCTCTCGTTTTCACGCTCCTCCAGAGTTCTACACCGGAGCAAAATTATTATGATGGATTAACTGAAGAACATAAGAGACAAAAATTTATTTGTTTTATTTTATTTTAAAATAGAAATGTTGATATTTAAGGTGAAACGAAAGTTTTGAAACACTTTCATATCTGAGAAATTTTTATTGCTTTTTATTCGTAAGTTAAATTCGTGAATAATTCGCGATTTAATTTCACCGATTTTTTTTTTTTTTTTTTTTTTTTTTTNTTATCACCGTTTTAACATTTCCACGCTATTTCCTTCGAAAGTTGAACATGGTTTTACAAAGTTTATTACTGGACACACTGGGGTCGTCGTCCAGTTTCCTCTCGTCGCAAAAGCTGCAATGCGCCCGAATCGGTTGCTGCCCGCGTTCGTAATTACACTCGTTCAACCCCCTGTTTTGCCCTCTTCTCCTCGCTCAATTACCGTGACACGTTTTGAAAAAGTGTATTTCAACTGGTTTAACGTTCGTTATCCAACCCCGGGGGAGGGGGGAGGGGAGGAGGACGGAATGGAAAGCCCCACCGATTCCGTGGTCGCATTAAAACTTTTCGTTCGCACCTATCTCTGCCAGATGTCTGTCTACTCCCTACTTTAAACTCGATCGCGATACGCTATTGAATTTTCTTAGAGAACCATGGTCGAGAACGATATTACGCGCTTCTATTATCGAGACGATGATTTCAATAAAGGAAACGGAGAGATAAGGGACCGTGGTAAAATTCCATAACGCGAGTCGATGCGATAATTAGAGGTAGATAACGCGCAACAATACGATGGAAATAAACTAAGAAATTGTTTGTTAGATTCAAAACGAAATAATAACAATAATAATAATAATAATAATAATAATAATAATAATAATAATAATAATAATAATAAAAATAGGATACAGGGATTGTAAAAAAATTCACTCGTCGTTCGTCATTTTCTCATTCGCGTGATCAATCGTGAATCGAACAAAACTCGGCCAATTACGAATTACGAAGAAGTTTTTGAAACATTGTATGGGTTTATAATCGTTTTCATCACGTGATCATCACTTAATCGGTAATATCAATCGTCGAATGTAAATTTCTACCGTTCGAAGCTGCCTAGATCCTTACGTAAACAAGTTTTATGGATTATACGATTATCGCATAACAGGTTTACCTTTTATTTGCGTATACCTTTTATAGATGTATCGATTAGTTTGATCGATTATCTCGTCTCTTGTATTGTAAATGAAATAGATGTTGAAAATTATACGAGTAATAAAATAGTCGAGCACGTTAACGGACAGTAATTTTGTTAAAATTTATTACAATTTATTCAATCGTAATATGTTTATCGATATGTTTAACGATAACTTCTAAGTATAGTTTAAAAAAAAGATATTTATTTACACAACGAAATTTTTTTATCTTTTATTTACGCGCGATAAAAAAACGAATTTATAGATGTCAGTAAAAAATACGATCGATAGCAACTGCGCCATCTAACGTCCTCAGCTAAAACTTCATCGTGCGTCGAAAAACTTGAGCGCATAAATCATTTTTACCTTCCTCTTTTTTTTTTATCCACGATCTTTATCCATGTTAGAAAAAAAAAAAAAAAAAGTAACGAGAAAATAAATCAAAAATAACAACGAGATAAGAAATTCTATCTATATCTATATCTTTATAAATAGATGAAATATTATTTTTTATCACGTACAAAAAAATCGGTTAAATTATCTGTCGTAATCGAAACATGAAATGTTCCCTTTCAAATTTTCAATTCTCGTTTCCTAATAAATAAATAAATAAATAAATAAATAAATAAATAAATAAATAAATAAATAAATAATCGTGCGTGATAAATAATCGGTCTATTTCTCATCCACGAGAGATTATCGATTCATCGAAATGGAATGCGTAAAGCTTGAAAAAGTTTTAAAACTTTTGCGAACGCTTAATTTTGAGGAAAAGTTGCAGCTTTAAAAAAGAAAGGGGGACGCGAAAAACACGGCGGGATTCCGGGTCACGATGCGACGAGACGTGGCGCGTTTCTTTTTAAACTTTCTCTCTCTCTCTCTCTCTCTCTCTCTCTCTCTCTCTCTCTCTCTCTCTCTCTCTCTCTCTCTCTC